GAAAAAAAAAGAAAAACAAGAAAGAAATAGATGAAAAATTAGTTTGCACAAAAAACAAAAAGACTTCTTCACCTCAAATGTTGTTAGCACACAATAAAAACAGTAATATTAAAAGAAAAACGTTCATAAAAAATGATACAGTCTTTGCAATAACCACTTACCGTAATGCGCAAAAAAACTGAACTTTTTTTTTAATTCATATATTAAAAACATCTAAAAATATAACAAAATAAAAGACAAAAAAAAATGTTAAAATAACAGAAAAAGAAAACATTTAACCAAAATGTTACTGCTAATTTTCTTTTTTGTTTCAAACCACCAATTTTTTCTTTCTTTCTTTTTTTGTTGTTTTCTGTTCTTCAATTTTAGTCTTAACTTAAGATATAGAAACTATTTTATTTATGTTCAATTAATAGTTTTAAACTTTCAGGCACCAGGTTTTTTCTTTTTTCATTTTTATTAAGCTATATGGTTTTTTTTTTCCAGTTTTATTTATAGATTTATTAAAGTTGTAAAAAAAATGAAAATATTTCACTTTCTTATTTTAATGCTTAAATCTTAAAAATTTTCTTTTTGTTGGTGTTTTTGCTATTATAAAGATATCGCTTAAGCAAAAAATTACAGCTTAAAATACGATGATATTTGACAGATACTTTCTTTAGTAAATTGCCAATTGTTTTGTTTTGTTTTGTTTTGTTTTATTTGTATTGTTTTCATTTTTTTTTTTGTTTTCAATTTACCTTTTTCAATTTTTATAGAATTGAAAGAAATTTTTAACCTCTACGATGAGGAGCTCGACGGCAAAATTGACGGCACTCAAATTGGTGATGTTGTACGAGCTGCTGGTTTAAAGCCAACAAATGCTATGGTTAATAAGGCCAGCGGACAGGAATATAAGCGAAAAGGAGAAAAACGAATTACATTTGAAGAATGGCTACCAATCTATGAACAACTCAGCAAGGAAAAGGTATATGAAAGACAAAAAAAAAGGAACTGTTGCAGAAAACTTTTCTTCACTAATTTACAGTTTCCAAAATTCTCGTTTTTCCATCCCCCCCCACCCCCACTTCCCCTCCCTCCTCCGACAAAAATATATTGAAATTGTAAAACAAAGATTAAAAATTTTTTTCTTTTTCAAAATTTATCCACAAAATTTGTTTTCCCATTTTTTAAGCCTCTAATTCTACCAGCAAATTTCTTCTTTTCATTTTTTTTCATTACTTTTCACTAACCCAATACTTCTTTATACATTTGAATAAAAATTGACGACACGATAAGCAGTGTTGCCTAATTTTTACTGCTGTTCACTAAAGTTTAACTGAAAAAACAGTACTTTTTTTTTTTTTGCTGCTTCTTTTTTGGTGGTAATTTCAATTACAATTTATTTGATGTTTTAAAAGAAAACAAAAAAAAGGTAAAAAAGGTAAAAAGAAGGATATATAATTGGGGAATATCTGTGTTATAACTTCTATTCTATTAGTACTTTTTTTTTTTGTTTGTTTGATTATTATTCAGAATAATTTTGAACAATTTCTTTTTTTACACTCATTAAATTAAATAATTCTTTTTTGTTTTTTTCAATTTCCAAACAAAAAAAATTTTAAGTTGTAGCCAAAAAAAAAATATTGAATATTAGAATAAAAACAGAGTAAATTGTTTTCTTTTTTTTTATTTAATACATTTTTCGTTTTTCTCAACAAAAAGTTTAATGTTTGTTGAGTGAAAAAAAAAATGAAATGAAATGAGTGAGTGAGTGAAATGATCACAGCAGCAGACAAAGAGAGAGAGATACACAGAGAGAGAGAAAGAGAGAGAGAGAGAGAGGGAGAGAGAGAGAAAGAGATGGAAAGAATTGTAAAGAGTTGAAAAAGCATTGAAGTTTACTAAATTGCGCTGTTGTTTAGCTGCGTTTTCTTTACAGTGTATCTGATCCCAATCTGTGCTTTTAGCCAACAATACTGCTGTTGCTGCTGCTGCTGCTGCTGATACTGCTGCTGCTTCTCGTTGCTTGCTGCCGTTGTCAGCTTTCTGAAGTATGCAGTTGCTGGTGTAAAAAAAAAAAAAAGCGAATGTGTTTTGAAGAGTGGGAGAGAGTGCTTATCTTATTTTTGATATATACTTTACATCCCCCTATTGTTGTTATCTTAAATAAAAAAATTTTTTCATTATACACATACAAAAATAAATACATTTTTATTTATTCATTTATTTAACTGCTTTAGCTATTATTTTACTGGTACGCCTAATTACACTTCATACAATTCACCAGTAAACTAACTATATAGCCACCACCATCTCATTAGAATAAAGAAAAAAAACAAAAAAAAAACATAAAACGAGTTATGAGATTATATTGAAATAATTTATTGTACTTCTGCTAACAATTCATATTATCCTTTAACAGTTTTTTTGTACGTACCCAAATAGAGGAAGAAAAAAAAATTAACAGGGGAAAAAAAACACTTTTTTTGATTCTTCAATGTATACTTCCAATTTTTTGTAGATAAAATAAATGGACGAAAAAAAAATGTGGTATACAGAACAAAAAGTTACCTAAAAAATCTTAAGTGAGTGAAAGCAAAAAAAACTGTAAACTATTTCACTACCAATTTTAACTGTAATTTCTTACTATTTACAACTTTTCTAATGTGAAAAAAAGAGAAAAAAACGGAAGATAAAAATTTTTGTTTTATTTAAAAAATTTTTTCAGCTGTTCAATTTGGTATTATCATTAAATGACAAACATTCCCCAAGCTACCTTCTTTCTTATTTTTATTTTTTTTTTTTCCAGGAACAAGGAACCTTCCACGATTTTATGGAAGGCCTTAAAGTATTCGACAAGGAAGAATGTGGCAAGGTCTGTATTCACAATAAACTATAATTTTCATTTGCAGATCAATCCCTTAGAATTCACTGTTCAAAAAGATTGTCAAAAAAAAAACGAAAAAAACGGAAAGAACAAAAAAAAAAACAATAAATTGATTTCATTTAAATAGTTAATGCCTTAATTACTATAAGTTTACTAATTTTTTTCTTGTCATCACAATGCCACAATTCATACACTTTTGCACCAGTTGTTGACAGTGTTTTAGTTTGCACTCCGCAAAATTAACCAGTTTTCTACAACGTTACTGAAGAATCTGATAAACAATTGCTTAATAACATAACATATTGGCACTCAAGTAATCAATCAGTTTATCAGATAATAAATGCTTTCAGATTTTGGCAGCTGAATTAAGGCATATTTTGTTGGCTCTTGGTGAGCGATTGAGTAAAGATGAGACTGACGAAATCATGAAGGGAGTTGAAGATGGTGAAGGCCAAGTGAACTATGAAGGTAAGCATGCATTTCCGCATCGACAGCTTTCATATGATTTAAATTGATGTCAAATATTTTCAGAGCAACCATTATGGTTGCTAGCCATTTTTTTTTTTGCTAAACAACGTCGTAGAAATTAAGACGGTTAGATACGTTTAAGTTTGTTCAACTGTTTTGCCAATTGTTGCTTCTTTTCAGCTTTCATCAAGAAAGTCCTGGCTGGCCCATTCCCAGAAGAATAGTGATACGATTTATGGATTAAACAAAAACAAATAACACTTTTTTTTTCTGCCCGCAGTTCGCTTATAGAAAAAATTTGCAACTTTCAGAAAAAAATTTTTTTCCTTTTTGCCAATGGACTTATAAAGTGATACAGAAAAAAAAAAGTTTACAATAATGCATTCAAAAATATTTCATTTAAATGAAAATCTTTTTTATCGCTTTTTCAATTTATAAAGTTGATGGGAAAAAAAACAGAAAAAGAAAAACAATTTATGGAAAGCTAAGGTGCTCAAAAGTTGTCGTCGCTTTGTAAATCTAGAATCCATACTATATTGAACTCCACTGTTAAATTTATAACTAACAAACGTGAACGAATATTTGCAGCAGCTTAGCAAATTTGATAAAAAAAAATTTCTTTCTTTTATGTATCAAAGTAATAAAATTGAGTAAAAAAGTTACACCTGACCTGTTTGTTTGACATCCACCTTACTCAGCACATCACAAAACAATGACCTGTATTTGCCCATATTACTGCTGTTATCCTGAAATTTATGGCTTTCATCAAACGTACCATCCTAAAAACCATTCAGCAACCTGTCCTTTCATGCACCCAACGACCCAACTGTTCTTCTTTGCAAAATGAAAAAAAAAAGAAACAACATTCTTTTCTTATGAATTTGACTACTAATTGCTGTCACGCTTACTTACAGAATATTACAGATATTATGCTTCCCCAAACTGCTATTTAATTTTACTCTTTTATTATAACGAAAAAAACTTAGATTTGCAAGTTGAGTCATTGGTTCTTAAACATAAGCACAGCACTTGTTATGCTTTATAAAACCACATTCTAACAAACTGCTTACAACGTTCTTCACTAGTGCAATATGAGCCAAACTGATACCCAAAAATGTATATCCTTGAATAGTTCACGGTTACAATGAAAACTGACCTTCAAGACAATTCGATGCTTATAATTAATTTGCAATATTTACTTTAATACTAAAAACCAAGCTACCAGTAACGCTTATGACCACGTATGGTTATGCATACTAAGCATCGCTGCATATTATGACTTGGATTTAAAAGGTCCTCTTGTTGGACAAAACCGCAGTTGAAAAATAACAATCAACAAACTTTAGTCAAAAAACTGTAAATTTTACCAATTAAATGTCGGTAACTCATAGATTAGGAAAAAAAATAATCTTGAACCTGAAAAGATGCCTTGGATGCCGGCGTCTCCTTCAAAGTTTCTCAAAAAAATCACAATATGACATGAAATTTGCCATCTTCATCCTGAGGACAAAAGGTTTACAAAATAACTTAGTCACTTCATGGCCCACAATTTCACCAGATATAATAACAGCGTAATTTTATAAGTACAGTAACGACCCAAGAAGATTTTCTTGTGAAGGATTTAGCTAACATCAGATCTTGAAGTAAACTGTCTCTGAAGATATATTTAATGAAGCTTTTCTTTATATTTCGTTTAGAATAACAAGCAACTTTTACACACATATCTCTACTAAAAAAAAAAAAAAAACAATAAGTGATTAAAGGAGCTTATCAAACAAACTACTTTTTCAAAATTAATGAAGAAGTACCATGAAACATTACCGATCAATAATTAAAAGGCACTGTAAATGATACAATGAAAGCACTTTCAATCTCATGCAACGAAGAAGAAACAAATTCCTATGACGTCCTATAAAGCTAAATAGTGGCATTACACAGCTGCTTTTTAGAAGTCTAACAAATAACAGAGCAAAGAAAAAAATTAATTCTTTTAGTATTAACAAGTCTCTATAACAATATCGTATATTTATAGTAAAAATGGCTCCCAAGAACCAAAGCAAATAAGCACCTCTTAGGAAATTATTTCTCACCTTCCCAAAACCAGTGATCAGAAATCCAGCCAGCTCTAGACAGGGGCCAAACTCTAAATACTAATCTTATTTGAATTAGCCCCTGGGGAATTGGACCAAAATTTCTTGAATCAGTTGACAAAAGAGCATTGTCTCCTTCTAAGTAAACATGACCTTTTGGAACACGTCGAAATGGGATCGCACAGTTATAGACTCTATCAAACTGTTTTTTTGTGAGTCTTTTACACAAAAGTTGCCTTGGCTCTATCGGAGACAACGAACCAACAATATCCCCTCGCCGCAAAGTGCCCAGCTTCACGCTAAGCTTTTCAGCAACTACCTAGAAGAAAAACATCTTTAAAAATTCCAAACCGGACGAATTTCTGTTGAAACTTTTGGCCAGTAAGCTTTACAAGTTATAATCCCTTTGGCTAGAATACTTACAGCAAAAATTTTAATTTGAACTGAAATAGCAATGAGAAATAACTAAAAAAGAAAAAACAGTAACACATAATGATCAAAACTCTACGAAGCTCTTCTCTCGTTAAATGTTCAAACTTCCCTCTCATATTAAAAAATCGTGTGTAAGTTTTTCTTTCAGCTTTCACTATATATATTCTATTACGTCAACGTCGCTGATCGACTCAAGCTCCTACCACGCAAAAAAAAAAGAATAAAATAAAATAAAATATAACAAAAAATTTCAAAAAAGTCCTTTGAGGGGTAATCACAATTATGATTTTTACCCCCTCAAGATGAAATTTCTAACTAACTAGGTCGCCGTCCTGAACCGTTGGATGCATGGAAGGCCCAGAACAGTAGACAAGCTCTCCAACATGTTTCCCAACTGCATACACTGAGCTGTAAACATAGACGAAAACGCGAAAATTTCGCCAGTTAGCGTATTTCCCCATCGAATGCTACCATCTGCCCTCTCCACATCAAATTAACTGAAATGCGGAAGCACTTTCACAGATTACTAAAACTAGTTAAATCATTTGCAGTTAACCGTTCCCGACCCAAAAAATCTAATATAAATATAACCAGTAAATGCTCAGCGGCCTTTCAGTGTAAAAAACTACACAGCGAGATAATAAGCAACAAAATTAAAAGCAAATGAAATAATCAAACCTTTTCGTTATTAAATCGAAAAATAAAATTGGCAAAAATTCCAGAGCACCTATGACCAAAAACTTACCAGACATTCAACATAGCAAATTTGAAAGCTGCAGTCCTGTTTCTTACCAGTTATAAGGCCGATACAATGTTAATTGAAAAGAATTTTTTAATGGCATTTTAAAAGCAAATTTGTAAAAGCAACAAAACTTTTTTCAAGAACTAAGCATTAAGAACAAAACATGTAGGTCTGGGCTTGCACCTGTAAATCGAACATCAATTGCACAGAGCAAAAGAAGGAAATGAAGTGGAAGTTAACGGTTCATAAAAATGAAAAATTCGATTCCAGCCACAGTGCAACCAAAATACGGGCAACGACCAGTCACAAAAATAGAGAGGCCCAGTGAAAACTTTAGCCCCAGCAGTAGGTATTCAACCATATACGAGCTGGCGATGGCACAGCAACAGATTATCCCATTCTCCAGAGTTCCATTTGTATTTTTTAGCCCTTTAGAGGATAAGAGAGCGAAGATGCCATATTCTTAACAAGGCCCTCATCTGAGAAACACGGCTGTTAGTTGTACGTTATGCATAACAGTTGGCAGATAATCCAGGAGATCTTAACATTGCCGTACAAACTTTTGGATTTCAAAAGAGGCCTTCACAACGGGGTAAGGCTAATGTTAGTACAACAATTCAGTTGACGATTTCATAAAATTTCATAGCGTTACCTGATAAGGCATTCTGCGTGCTCTGTAAACATTAGACAGCAAATTCAGCTTTATTTTAATTCCTCCAATTCTAGTCATACAATCAAGCAACATTTCATATAGCAGTTTTCTTTTACTTCATATCAATGGCAACTTATTTAGCCAGACAAATAAAGCTTTTTTTTTTGTACAGCAGAACGAAATTCATGTTTTTTCCCCCTCCTCCCTCTGTGTTGGGAAAATTTCTTTCCTCATTTTTCCTCCTTCGCAAACCCGCTTTCATACTGAACGAATTATATAACCAAAACTTAGTTTTTTTTTTTTTTT